TTTGTTGTTTGGCTGGTTGCATCTGGACCACACACACACCCTCCTCCCCATCATCATCTCTTGTGTACCACTCTCTGTCTCGAACACTTTCTCTCTCTCTCTCTCTCTCTCTCTCCTTCTCACGTGTACGGACGGGGTCCAAAACCTTTGCAAACATCATAGATCGAAGTGGAAAATGGTACCTTTGTGTTCGTGAAGATCATATGAGTTCAACCATACCAAATTCAGGTAAGGAATCCTTCGATTTCACGTCGAACCAAGAATCTCCAAATTGGTCACTGTTTATACACATGTGAAATATTGACTTTCAGGGAATTTGAAGCTTAGAGGACGCTTAGTGAAGTCCTTAGGAAGCTCGGGGTGGTTCGTTGTGTGGAATTGGACATTGGGATCGTGAGTTGCAAGTTTGGCCGATTTTTCTTGAATTTTTCCGATGAGATCCTATGATCTTTGAGGTTTCAAACAGGTATAGCATTGTTCTTCTCATTTCCAGCTTTCCATTGGTGTAAATTTCACAGAAATTGGTGAAGAAACGAGTGAGAATGAAGGGTTTGAAGTTTTTCCAGGTTTTCGGCGACCAGTGACTCGCCGGAGAAGATGACGGAATATTCCGTCAATTTGAACGGAATATTCTAACGCAGTCAATCAGATTTAACGGAATCCATTAGGGTTTAGCGGAATATTCCTGACGACGTTAACAGATGTCGTCAGTGTGCTTGGCACGTGGCCACGCGTAGGGCCGTGCCTTCGCCGGCGCGTAGAGCTTCGAAAAATTATTTAAAAAATATGGGGTTGTTCGTGAGGTTGAGTAGATCATGTTGGTGTATTCACACACCCCATTTGAGAATTGTATGAGAAGTTATTACATAGTTTTGGTTATGTGCTTTAAATTAACGGTTTTATAATTGTTTCGCATATAGGTGAGACCCATCTTGAGGACGAGCGCAGTCACTCGAGGCAACGGGGTTATGACCCTTCCACATATCAGTGAGTGGGCTTTTGGTTTTCTGTATATACCTATATACTTGTGGTTTTTCCCAGAAAATGATATGGAATGTTTATATGTTTTAAAAGCCATGCATAGCGTTTGCCTAGTTAATTATGCATTAGTAGTTGCATATATGTATGTTTAGTGCTGCGGACGCATAGGTGAGTGCCAGGTAAGTTTATGGTTTTGTGATTGTGAATTAGTGATTATGTGAGATGCATAGAGAGCTCATAACCTGCACCCCCGGCGTTAGTGCTCCCGCCCAGAGTAGGGCATAGTCCTTCAAGTGATATTCACCTCCTGCACCACATGCTCGTCTTGGATCCAAGTTAGGTGCACAGTCTTGTCATACAGACCACTATAGGTGGTTCTGACTTATAGGTGACCCGCGATTATTCGCCCAGCCTTCACGTGATCGTAGCACTTGAGCGTATTTATTTACACACAGTCTTGTCGTATAGACCGCTTTAGGTGGTTCCGACTCGTGTGCAGGTATAGTTAGTGAGTTAGGGATTTGAGCTCTAGATTTAGCCGTACATGTCACGTTAGGTGACTCCGGCTGACATGTTACTTGCATTGATTGTCATTACCTGGGTTACTTACAGTTTATGTGGAGGCATTCGACATGGCATACTTTTAAACATGTTTTCTATATATGTGTATATTCTATTTTCTAGGAAACTATATAGGTTTTACAGCGAGGGGTTAGAACTTTTGATAATGAAATGATTTTGAAAAGCTTTGTTTTTGCCCACTCAAACTTTCTGTTCTGCGCCCCTCCAGGTTCTAGTTAGAAGCAGCTTTGGTGGTTCACGAGGACTTGACGGTGGTTCTGATAGAACATCACAAATGTAGGATCACCTTTGTGTGTTGTAATTAGTATTCATTCTTCTGGACTGCACTTAGATTTTCTGTGCTCTGATTATATTTATCACACTTAGTCTCGCATTAGTGTGTTACCTTAACTAGCTTACTTAGTAGTTTGGTTTTTATTTATTCGTACTTTTATTATTTATCTCTTGCTTCCGCACTGTGCATATGGCTACGTCACTCTCACGTGACGGCTAGCACGATTTGATTTCGGTCGGGGTGTGTCATAAATAATGAAAATGAAAAACATAATTTGACCCAAAAAAATGTAAAACATAATTAAATTAGTATATACATACTAAATTTCAGAGTTGACCATTTCACGAAAGTTGTAGAGCTTGTTATTATTAGTGAATATATATATATATATATTACATTTTTCACGCTTCTACAATAATTATTTTTAATTTTGCACTCAAATAAAAAACACTATTCATGAGATTTGGAGGGTTTTAAAAATCTAACCGACCATGTAACCATCATTTAAACGTAGAGGATGCAATTACGAGTGTTTATATACGCTTTCACATTTTTTAGACTTATACATTAATGATTACGAATTTTATTTATTTTGAACTCTCTTAAAAATACTATTCATGAGGGTTTGTGTGGTTTTATAAATCAAACGATAATGTACCCAACCTCAAAGCGTAGATGATGCGATTACGAGTTTTTGCATTTTTTTTCACATTTTTTGCGCTTGTAAATTAATTATTATAATTTTTTTAATATCACTCTTTGCCTATAGTATACTATAAAAATAAATAAATAAATAAAACTTAAATTTTAAAATTTATATAGAATAATAATACAATAATAATTTATAAACAATATATACATATCCATTATATATATTGTATTTAATAGTAAGTTTTTTTAGTAGTTTAAAAAATTAAAATCATCAAAATAACTTTTTCCTTATCCTGTTGGAACAGGTTACTCGTGTGTCACTCTCGTGTAAACCTGTTAAGGACCCGTTATTAACGGGTTCTTATCATGTGACCCGATAACGACCCGATTAGTTATTGTGTTGACTCGAAATCCGTAATTTTTGTGTCGTTAACATGCCATGTAAGAAATTGTCAAGTCAAGTTGTTTTATGCCCAAAGTCTTTATTGTAGTAGTCTTTCTTTTGGAATTCATCTTTGAAGTCGGCACTGCTTGTATGTAAAGAATGTTCCCCATTTTTGTTGGCAGTTTTGTGCGCATATTCTCCCGTGCAACAAATTATGAAGTGATTGAATTTTTAGTTGATGGGATTGAAGTTCTTATGGCTTTGGTAGTTATTAAATGTAGGGGTGGGCAAACGGATATAGGAACCACAGGTCGGGGTGGGTACGGGCCGGTTCTTAATTTTTTAAAAAGAGAAGTGGGGCGGGGCGGGGCGGGTCTTTGAAATTTTAGGTGCGGGCTGGTTCCAAAAGTATAGAAAAACGGGTACCCGGACCGGTCCGTTTGTAATTGCAATGGACGGACAAGAATGAATGATAAACCATTGGTGTAAACTTGCAAGTGCACAAGATAGTCGTAATATAGCATTTTGCAAGTCCAAGTATTGTTCCCACGAGGATTCTAATTCAATCTCCAATTTGATAAATCAAACCAAATCTAATTATATTAAAGACACACAAACCCAAAAATTTAAAATATAAACCCAAACAATGAACTAGACTCGATCTTAATTAATAAATCAATCAAAGATGTGAAGAGTTTGTTGTCATGATTTTATAAACAAATAAAAACAAAACCTTAAATAAAAATTAAAATTAAAGAGAAGAAAATGTTCTGTTTTAAAGCAAGTGATGAAAAAGTCTAGGGATTTGGAATCAACCACAAGCAATCTATTTCGGGTTTCAATGCATTCAATGGATCTTTCGATTCTGTAGATGGTAATTCCCGTATCTAAGTCCTTGTCAGGCACATTAGACCATAGTTTTCCTTAAGTGAATGATTATCTCCTAGTTCAGGTAGAGGTCATATATTCTAACATGTAATCTATCAAGGTTAAGGCATAAATTTAACAAGTAGGACTCTTTACGCTCTAGAAAACAAGGGAACCAAGCAAACCATTATTCTTTGTCAAGCAACAATGTAATTTACCACACTTAACCATAAGAAGCTCATTGAATTATATTGCTAGTTCAACCTCAAATTCATCTTCCAATCTTACTAGATGCAAAGTCCTCAATCAAAGAACTCAAGCAAAAAGTTTCAATTCAAACAATGATTAAGCATTCATCTAAAAGAGACTAGAAATCCAATGAATAACATTAAAAACCATAAACATCCATGCTAGGGCATCATCCTAACCCTAGGAAAAGAGTTTAGTTACTCATAGAATATGAAAACATAATTAACAATCTTAAAAACATGACGAACTCCCTAACGATGAAGATGGATCTCTAAAGTGGTCGATGGCTACTGCTCTTGGATTCGTGTCTCGCTGCTACGTCTCCACACCTTCTTATCCCCAAAAGCAAGTTCCCAAAAGCTCTGCCCAAAATCCTCCTTTTTTCCCGCAAAAAATACTGAAGTCCCTCTTTTAATAGGACTCTTGACTTTCTCTTATGACTTGGATTAATATGTTGATGATGTGGCACATCAAACCATTAGATATATTACCCATGCACCGTTTAGAATAGTCTTGACTCTTGAACTTTTCTACAAGCTTCTTTTTTTCTCTGCACATTTCCTTTTATTAAACTTAGTAAATCTGAAATCTCTTTGCAAATCCCGCGTAAACCTTGCTGGCAGACGTCCGGTACAAAAACCACTATAACGTCTTCTAGGAAACTCGGAATCACAAACCGTAAAATTCCTCTAAAAGCTGACTTCCATATCTTTCCAATGGTATAAAGCTCAGCAGCTGGTTCATTCTGAGGAAGTACAGTTTAATCCGTAAAGTCGGCTGCACAGCTTCTGCTTCCAGCATACCAAACTCATTTCAATTGCAAAAATGCTCCTTTTTCTTCTTTCTTCATCTTCACTCTTCAAATCTAAGAAAAACATAAAACTAAATGAAACGAACTAAATTCACTCACAAACATAACAAAAATCTAAACTAAATGACATTGAAATGAACGCAATATTTATCAACCATCATCCAATCTCAACCGTTAGATTCTACCCTAGTCATCTTCCTCCCGAGTCGAGTCCTAATTCCAAAATCAGTCACTCTCACTCCACGCTGTCCGTCCTTCGAATCCAACTCTTAATCGTCTTCTCCTCCGTCGTCGTGACCAACACAACGGCACCACCCATCCTCCTCGACGACATCCCACTGGCTCGATTCTCTCCTCTTCAACAACATCACTGCTGGCTCGATTCTCTCCTCTTTAACAACCTTCACTCATGTTTTCTTGCCCATTCGCAACCTGTATAATCCATACCTTCCTTCGACCCAAAATCTAATTCTCTGATCTCACATCGCCGCCGCAAATCCATTGCCCGCCCACCCGCCATGAGCACTCCATCACTCTTAAGGGTAAAGCTTTCAAATTTTCTTCTGATTTGCGGGTTTCAATTCGAATTTTTGACTTCGGATGTTGCAGAGCGCAGGTGTGTTCTCTGGATTCACACGGCTATGCAAGGGCTTGTCGGTGGTGCTCATTGGATGCCACATTGTAGTTCAGCTTCTCCCTCATGCTTGTCGGTGGTATTTTTCTCTTGGTTTGGGCACCTTCATTGTCCAAATTTTGGTTTGTTGACTTGTGAATTGAAAATTTACTAAAATGTATTGCAAAATATTGCATAAATATGTGTTTATAGTAATGGGTTTTATGAAAAATATGTGAAATTTAGTGTTTTGAACCGTTTGGTTTTGTGGGGTTGATCTGAAAGTCAGCTCCGGTTTTTCCCCTTTCTTGTGTGGAATTGGGAGTTTGTAGCAGAGGTGATAATGTTGACCCGGTTCCAGAACTTAGAATTAGGTCCGGTTCCAAAACTCAGAATTGCTATACCCGCCCCGCCCCACCCTGTTAGATTTTTAAACGGATCCGGTCCGGTTCCTTCAAATTTGGGCCCAACCCGACCCGATCCGTGCCCACCCCTAATTAAATGGGCCAAATTGACCTGGTCTTTTCTTTGGTTTTTTGTTTTGGAGTCCATTTTGTACGAAAAGCCCTTAAATTTAATCCAAATTGCTCCCTTGAAGTTTGTACATTTTATTAAGATGTTAATAAAACCGCTATTGTTTCGCCTCAAAACTTCACCTCAGCATGCAAAGAGATGGTTCCTCATATGTAGAAAGATTCCTCCTAGTTATGCTATGATTTTGTATATAATTTGTGGATGTCATCAATATGTCAACGTACGTATGACATAACCATGATGAAAGTTTCCACAACTTATAGGCGGCAATTCTTACTAGTTTCCCCCACTCGAGTAGTTCGGTTAAAATCGCAATGCCCCAAAATTTGCATTGACAATTTGACGTTGATTTTTCTATCTCAAACAACTTTCAAACTCAAAAGAAATGGTTGACCCAGTTTTCGGTTGAGATTAAAGTATCCGTCCAATCTGAATCGACCCATTGACTCCTTTATCAATCTTTTTTGGAAAGGTATCGATCTTTTTTGCTTCATTTTTTTGGGAGGAATTAATGTTTATGAATTTGTTAGGTGTTCGCTTCCGTAGTGTTAATTCACAAGTTCATTAGGAAAGTAGAGAAGCCACGTACTTAACGAATCAAACTTTATATTTTTGGCTTTTTATCATAAACGGATTTTGAAATTGACCCAAATCGTTAAAATTGTCACTGAAATTGAAAAATAATAAATGTAATCCCTGAAAATAGGTGTTACAAATTAATGTGGTCATTCTATCACAATTATGTCAAAAGTTCTGTTATGTATTGGTGTAGCACATAAATACCTTGAAATTGAAAATCGATCTATATAATCCCTGAAAATTGTGTCACAAATCAATTTAGTCATTCCGTCACAATTCTTTCGAAAATAATATTATTTGCTGTGAGTAATAATTAATTTAAAAAATTGTCCAAATACCTTTTTGCATAGTGAGATTATCTCAAGGTAGAGCTCGCCATTCTCCGCGTCACCAAGATCACCGAAGGAGTGCCAAGTTTTGAGACTATTGATTGCCTAAATGTTGACGGTGGTGTCACAAAAGTCGTAGCCAATCCAAGCTGTCATCAAAGGGGGTCTTGATCCTGGTGCAATTCGATGACAGGTGTAACGATGGGTGTCTTGAGAAATTTATTTTTTCAGAGAAAAGAAGGTGAAGGCTACCATAGATGAGGTAGATGAGTGTGAGTTGGGGTAGTTGGTGATAAATTTTTTAATTAATTATTAAATTATTAAATCTATTTCTAATTTATTTTTAATTTAATTAGACTTGCGGGATCTATTTTTGTGCCACACAACACATAACAAATTTTTTTTATAGAATTGCAAAGGAAGGACCATTCTGATGTGAGACACTTATTTCTAGGACTACAGTGATCGATTTTCAATTTCAGAGACCATCTTGATGGTGTAGATCAATTTTAGGGAACATTTATGCTAATGATTTTTTTATTATAATATATAGAAACCAAAGAAAAATAACTAACTGCCCACTAGGTGGATTTTGAGATCAATTTGAAACATGTTGAAAAATTACTATTTTATTCTTATTATATTTAATTGTTTTGTTTTGAAACTCTTAATTGGAAGAAGAGTATGTCTTGGTATTGTGAAGCTTTTAGGGTGTTTAACTTAATATATAGTGAAGCTTTTAGGGTGTTAACTTAATACATAGAAATTCAATTTCATATTTTGCATTCACTTTCTGTTTTTCTAATTTTTCTCACTTATTCGACCATTTACTAACTAGTGCTGCTATTTCCACTTCAGTGTCTTATTTACTCATCCACTTTTTAATGAAAATTTTAATTACAAGTTTACTCATCTGTAAAATGACCAATAAAGACCTTAAAAGATAGCCATCTGATCACAAACGATTTATCTACCCTTAAACCCTAACTCACCTGATAAAATCCCAGTGCAACTTAGCTTGAAATCGTTTCAGTTCCACACATTTTCTACATTTTTGCAAATTAATTCTCCTAAAAATCTTGAAGACGAAGATGAACCCAAAAACCAGGTAACCAAAGTTTGACTCTTCTCTGCTTTCTCCGGCCACTGTGCGGTTCAAATTTAATGTTTTTGCTGTGGTTGGATGTTTCAACAATGGATATAGCATGAATTGATATGTAATGTGGACTTGCTGCATATGTATAGATGCAAATATTTCTATACACAAGTGTGGAAGAAGAAGTGAGGAAGGGTAGTCTTCTGTAAAGTGTATTGAGTTTGATTAGTAGAAAAAAAATGGTGCAAAGTCTATCACTAAGCGCTCTAAAATTATTTCACCAGACAAGCTCGGAGTGGAGAGAGAGTGCTAATGAGAATATTTTAGGAATAAAAGTGGGTGAGAAAATAACATTTTAATTTTGTAACTTTTTATGGTGGATGAGATTATAATATGAGTGGAGAAATAAGACAATGGGATGGGTTTAGTAGCTCTCTTAATAACTTCCTCCTAATTACATGCATAGAGGAGTGGAGGTTGCTTGTAATACCACCGATACGCTTGATATAGACAGCTTTAGGTCCCTTAAATAGAGAGACAGAATCAGAAGGAAGCACATCACATACGAATCCTTGCTAGACTCTGCAATTTGTTACTATATTTTTGTTAAAACCGAAGGCTTAGCAAACTTATTTTTAGCCTAGTTAGTTAAGAGTAGTGTGATCTCCCTTTTACACCCAAATTCAAATTCTTCTTCCGTAGTTCAGACAAGATTAATTCAAATACCACTCGAATCAATAACAAAAACAATATGGATATTTCTAGTCCACATCACAATTAATTTGATTCTTTAACTCTGGTGATTAGGAAACACAAATCTCATTCTTGACATAGCAAAGCATTAAGCAAAAAGATTGAGACCAGAGAGGGAGAAATTAAGATACATAAGTGGAAGAGTGACTCTTAGGGGGAGACTTAAAACTTAATTAGGACTTATTTTCTTCATCGTACCCACCAACGTTGAAAAGGTGTTATAAATTCGGTCATTTTGCATTACTTAATTGGCCTACAAAAGCACCAACTTAATCATTCTAAATTCACCACAATCTCATTCTTAAGTTTCGTCCTCCTGTAGCTTCTAAATTTCACCCTATCGTCCTCCAGTTGTTGCATTTGATAGAGAACAATGGGTTCCAATTTTGCTCAAATTACACTAGCAATGGTGCTAATTGCTTCAATGCTGGCAGTTAGCACAGCCAACAAGGATTGGCAATATGGTAATTACAGCGGTTGGGGCTTCAGCCATGGCTCATATCACCCCAATAAGACCCGAGGACCAAACAAGATCGTTGTTGGTGGCTCAGAAAACTGGCATTTCGGATTCAACTACACAGAATGGGCTTTGAAAAATGGACCATTTTACATCAAGGACACTCTCGGTGAGTATCCATTTTTCTGTGCATTTTCAGCTTTACTTATTGTTGTTTGCAAAGATCTTACTTGTTTAGCTCCCCCCCGTATTCAATTCTTGTTGCAAATTTTATCGAAAACTTTGAAACATAACATGTCAAGGAGTCGACCTAAAATCAAAAAAATATCGCCCACTTAAATTCTAATGTAACTAGAATGTTTTCTCTGCACAATTTGTTCACCATGAGAAACGCTTTTTCTTTTGTTCATAGAATTGAACAACTATAGTTACATGATAAAATGGTGTTTTGCGTGTTTTGCAGTTTTCAAGTATGATCCACCGAATAACACCACACATCCTCACAGCGTCTACTTGTTCCAAGACTTTCGGAGCTTCTTGAACTGTGACTTGAGTCGAGCAAGAATGGTGGGAAATCAAACACAAGGAGGCGGAGACGGCTTTGAGTTTGTTCTCAAGAGGTGGCAGCCTTACTACTTCGCTTGCGGCGAGCGTGATGGTTTACATTGTAAGGACGGATTGATGAGGTTCCCTGTCTTCCCAATGTTTCGTGGCTACTGATCGATCGATGTTGAAACACAGTATTAAGGCAATGCACAAAACAATAATAAAGAGACTTGGTATGCAAGTTTCTGAGAGAGTATAGTAGATAAGTTCAATGACATAGGTATTGACCATGTCTACTATTTAATTATTATTGTTCTTTAGTGATGTTTTACCATGTAACCAAAAATTTGAAATAGTTTTTGGAAATTTGAAATTGAATGTTAATGGTCATGCTGTCCTAATTAAACCTCTTATATTTCCTTTTCAGAAATAATATTACATTGAGGTAGTGCATTCTCATTTTATTATTAATATATATATATATATATATATATATATTCTTGTGATTAGTGCCTTTCTCTTCAACTCATTGTTTTTCGATTTCAAACCTTGCCTCCTTAGGGTAGATTAGGGTAGAAGCTTTTGCACAGCTGGTTCATGGTAACATGCAATATTAGCAAACAACCACTCAATTTTTGCAAATTCTTACTGAAGGGCATCAAATTCTCCAACAGGAGGGGGCCAGCAAATAATCGAGCAATAGCAAATTTAGAAAATTAGCAAGTTGGTCAAATTGCAGCGATATTAATTGGTTGAAAGAGACCAAGTAATTATTCCAAGTGAACCCGAAGCTAATCCAATTGAGCAAAGTGCGTGCCATACAATTGAAAAATTCGAGAGTAGGGAAAATATGTACAACTCGGTGAACTAACTAAAGAGGAAGCAGAGAAGAACAGACGATGTCACCCCACTTTTTAAAAATCCTACTTATGAAGACGAGTTGCCCTTTCTGCAATGCTTC